AGATAAAACCTTGCACTATCTTGTGACCAATTTAGTGCTGACTGTAATAAAATTTTGCCATTTTAAATTATGTTATATTTAATTGGTAGACACTGAAAGATAATCAATTTTGTTTGAACGACTCTTATTATGGAAAACTAAGAGACCTTTGTCGGTGCGCCAAAGACCTTCGAATACGCTGTAGCATGCGTTACACCAGCGGACGTTTGTTTTTCAAAAACCCCTTTCCAGGGTAAAATACTGTTCAACAACTGTGTGACAACTATACACAGGGAAAATACAATTTTCTATGTGAACGAACGTTAGAAGGTGTGAGCCATTTTCTAACTCGCGCCATTGCAATTGCATTTTTTAAGTACAACGACCCTCTTCTTGCCTTTGCCATAAGGTGATTCGGGTCTAACGGTACGATTGTATGTCAGTTATGTATGAGAAAAGATACTTGATTACCTTTTTATTAATTTGCCTTGATTCGCAATTGTCAAGTTGTCTGTATTCACTCTTAGCGACGGAAGCTGCTCGTAACTCTATTTCCACAAATGAAAAAGAAGCCTTGAAGGAAATCTCTAACCAGTCGTAGGATCGCACTATTTAGCTTATACTTTAAAAGTATGTTTAATGCTCTGCTCCTGTAGCTAGCTCCAAGGAAGACGAAAAGGCCCCTTTACCTACAATCGGAAAAACATATGCTCTAGACTTCTGCCAACGCCACGATTTGCATGCGACATTATTCAGCGCCATATACTTCGGATATATTGGCTAGAGCAAAATAAGCCGTAGTTCACTGACAGCTTACAACTGTTTTTCTATTGTCGCTAATATTATCGTTGTTATTATTATAAACAGGTAAAAGTTGATTAGAGCTATTAGACGCCATTTTGAAACGCGTGGGTACATATGAAGGACATAAGTACGACTGCAGACGTCGCGGTTAAATGGGGCTTGTAACTGCAGCGTTATCATGCTTGGCTTTGATGATAAAGAGGTCATGGGTAAAAAAGGCTGATTAATTACCATCAGTCAGCCTTTTTCAGGCAAAATTACAAAAATAACGTTTGGCCGATGAAACAATCGTGTCCTTAATAATATTGCATTTCTATTTACCAAATAAGGCAAGGGTCGCTTAACGTACAGAAGAATTACTAACATTTTGAATCCAGATGCATAGACATTCGTAGGTATCGCTTTAAATATCTTCCCCCACACGATTGTTCGATTACTATTGTTTTACTGTAAAATCAAACGAACGTACGCAGTTGAGTGAAAAAAAAAAGCCGTTCAATGTGTAACGGCTCTGTAGCAAGGTAGGTTATATATTTAGATTAGTGTAGGATTGCAAAGCACCTTCATATTAAAACTTAAGGTGTTTAGAGATCTTTCCATAATCGAAAAGTCATTTCACCAAGATCAACTGCAAGTCTTCGTTATGAGGTCTTTTGTGTACCTTCATTGACTTCGAAGCCACGTTGTAAAGCCTCCTTTTATCCACATACCAACGGCCCTGCTGTGATCGGTTATTTACTTGCTGATTGAGAGGTATTCAAAATGAAGTATCTCGCCCGAGGCTTCAGTGTTTTGAGCATCTGAAAGTGTAGAGACCAAATCGCTTTTTCTATGTAAGCAAATCGAGGCAAACTGCTATTAAATCCGTGTGCGACAATTTTTTTGACCAGGCTTGGAAGTTACTCGGGACGTAATAGGAGGAGTGGATTGCAGTTTAAAATAGACGACGACGACGACTGTGCCCGAACAGCACGTCCCGCATAAATGATAAATTATTATTAAAGCGATATTAGACTGACCTAGAATAGGGTTCCAGTGTACTATATATTAATTCCATTTTATAGAAGGTAGCTGAACAGGAGACAAGTTCAAAAATTTCTAAGTACAGAGTCAATTACAGTGAACAAATATCATAACGTAGCTGGTGAGAGTTGTATTAAACTAAAATCATCACCAAATAGCATTTGGTAGGTACCGAATACGACTATAGGTGTTCCTGGCTACTTCGCCTGTTGCCTACGTCGGAAGGCTGTCAACACATTCCGGGTTATCTATCCTATGTGTAACGAGGGTTCTATAACAGAGGAATTTGCTAAGTTTTCAGATGCGATCCTGTGCTTAGAGGGCCAATGTCACCATGATAGACCGCCCAAAACCAATTAAAGCCCTGGATGACAAATAACTCTGTAACTGGCCGAGAAAATAAGCTGTAGATACTAGATTATCGCCAGGCATCTGGGCTGTATAGAGTTTCGTCAGAAATTTCCATTGCTGGCTTCACCCATAGAATGGCTGAAGCAGACAACGAAACAGGGCTTCCTATTGTCCTTTGACATCACGCAGCACCGGAGAATATGCAGCCATAATCACAAATTTCCATACGGAATTGTGATGGGTGTCAAGAGATGGCGTTTCCGTGTCGATGTGAAGCAGAGAAAAGAATAGATAGTTTTTGGGATGTGTCCAGGTTTTTATTTTAAAAAGACTAATTGCATTTTGTAAGAATGGCGGGTCCAATACACAGGAAATGTTCGAGAAAAACAAGGCGGTCCATAAGGATTTGCATACGACCCGATTGCATTGGGTGAACGAGACTGGCCCACAGGAAAGACCTGATAGAGAGGACAAAGTTATTGTTCTCCATGACAATGCCAGATCATATATGGGAAAGCTCACTAAAGCAGCCTTGCGAGAACTTAGGTGAATGTTTCTTTTATACTCTTAATATTTTTTTGCATTGTGTGCAAATGGATCAGCTCCCTTACGATCATTAGTGAATCGGAAGTTTTCAAAAGCTGGCTGGACGAGCTTTGTCCGAATTTCTAGTGAAACAAAATACATAAATTTGTTGGAAATAAGCAGAAGATTTTATATAATGTCGGCGAATATATGAGAAACAGATTTATTGAAATAATTTAACTGGAACTCGTTAATGGGTGAATAATTGGTCATCATTGTTTCTGTGTAAATCTAGCAATGCTGGCAAATTATAAGGCAGATGGACATTTATACATTTTTTTTTAACGTTCATCACTTATACAAGCTGATCAATACGGGCTGTCTTGTCATGCTTGTGACGTGATTGAACCCACTCTTATATTCGCGAAATGATGGCACCTTGATAATGCGCCTTGCTTTGGCAAAAGGCTAATAGTTAAAAACGTCTGAAATTTGCGATGCGGATTAGTCTTGTTTATATCCTTCAAAGGACATAACGTGCGTAACTCACCTTCCTAAACTAGTACCGATACTTTACGGAATATACCTCGACGTTTTATCCTTTATGGCGGTTTTGCACTTGGACAACTATATTTAATTTACTAATCGATAGAGAAATTGTTTGTAAATCATGTAGACCTGAGACTGAATGAAAGCGTATCTTTAAAATGACTGGCTATTAATACCCTAAAGCTATTGCACTTATTACCGTAAAAGGTGATTACTTCTTTAATTTGTGCTTGTTCTACAAACTTCTAATTGCGTAAGTATGGCGGCTACTTTGTAAAGCTGTGTCTATGAGTACCTACACGTTTGACATGACACTGCACGATACCTATTACTGTACCCTTAATGTCCCCAGTATCAATTCAGGCCACGACGATCGGTAACATGCTTGAATGATGACATCATGGTTCGTTTTAACCATGACTTTATTTAAACTACTATTTTCTATTGGTAAAAACTGGGTAACTGTTTGTATAACATAGACCTATTACAGTGGATTGTAGAAAGAATAATTGTATCGAGCCAGTTGTAAGGACAAACTCCGTCGCCCCTTGTTCAATTAAAAAGAGTTAAGGAAGCCCGAGACTAGTTGGCGTAAGAAAGCTGCGTTACAGCTTAAGTGATTAACAGGAAAAACGAAGGCAAAATGTAGAGACATCAGGCTTCGATGATTGGGTTCTGGTCTTTATCCACTTTCGACGGCTGAACCATACCTCTTCCGTGTTTTCTCCTCGTTCAGAAAATTTGCGTCTTCTTATATCCAGATAAGTCTGGTTTAACTCTCTGGTTGACCTACATTCAATAAACTTCCATACTACTCAATGTATAAATATGACCCCCTTAAGTGAACCCCATATCTTATTCGAGTTACTTCCTTTCTCACTATAGATCCTAACATTGATCAAGACTTTCACGCAATACATGGATTCATAGTAGGCGATATAATATCAGCTTGTACAAGTCGTCTCTGAAATCAGACTTTGAAAGGCGATTTGATTGCAGACTTTAACCTTTTATTGTTAACAGAATCGAAAAACAAATCGAAGTTCCTCCTTCTTTAGGTTAAAACATGGTTTCGGTTTCTTCGAACGTTATTTATGCCCGTGTTTCTACTATTATGAGAAATATGAAGAATGTTCCTAAAAAGGGACCAAAGCCACGCTCAAATCTGTTGGTTCTCGGATGCCCGTGCCAAGATTTATCGTTCCTAAGTGGACTGCAAAAATGCTAATCTTCTGAGGAAGAAGAAAGACGAAGATGATTATGAAACGAACTACATTAACTCTCGGGAGGCACTGTCAAACAGCGGATCGCTTGCCAGCGCCGTCCGAGGCCAACACGATTATGCGCCTGTTTCAACTTTATTCACTATTGATTTCGATTCTCAAAGCTCTATTATAGGGTATCATAAGCTTTATAATGTGCGTGTGCGTTTCGGAATCTGACAGTTAACTGGCGCCGTTCGCTCTCTCTCTCGTTTTTTTGGTTTCTTCTATGCGCCTATTTAAGTTGTAAGCTACAGCCAAATTTCACTATTAAAAGCTAAGTCGCGAAGGTTTTTTGAGCCTTGGACTGTTGGGTCAATCTTGAGGCGTATAGCAGACGGGCGTGCATTGACACATCTGGACGTTGCAGTTCCCTTCAGTCATGCTTTGCTTTCATCTC